GTATCCACATAAGAGACTCAGTGTCTTTAGTGACTGCAACTTATAGTCCGTTCTTTATTGCAGACAAGTTTAAGGAAAGGATTGATCCTAACAAGGAAAAGATTCCACCGCATGTATTACAAGTCATAGAAGAAGAGCTTACAAAACTGCAGCTGTTAGAGGCGAGTTCAAGCGAGTTTAACGTGACCCGTAACTACCTTGATTGGTTAACTATATTACCTTGGGGAAACTACAGGTTTTTCTACTCTTACTTTATTTTATTCTCCATTTGTTTAAGTCAAGTAGTAGGTATTTTAGTATAAGATAGACTGATAAAGAGAGGGATGAGAATACATGGTCATCTGATTGAGGAATCTGTTTATTACATTTTGCAGTGATGAAAACTTTGATGTTGTAAGGGCACAGCAAATTCTTGATGAGGATCACTATGGCTTATCTGATGTGAAGGAAAGGATACTAGAATTTATTGCGGTTGGAAGGCTTAGAGGCACTTCACAAGGTTAAATTACTTACACAGTAATTGTGACCCCTTTCTTCTTGATCTAGTTATAAGCTCTGCTTCTGAGACTGTAGTATGTGTGTAACCAGGGAAAATCATCTGCCTCTCGGGTCCTCCTGGAGTAGGTAAAACTAGCATTGGTCGTTCTATTGCACGTGCTCTTAATCGCAAGTTTTTCCGGTTCTCTGTTGGAGGGTTAGCAGATGTCGCTGAGATTAAGGTAGTATTACACTTTTGCTTTACTAGCAGGCCTTTTAGTCAAAATGAAACTGTAAATCCATTCTCCTAATACCATGTTTAGGGGCATCGTCGAACATATGTTGGAGCCATGCCAGGAAAGATGGTCCAATGTCTCAAGAGCGTGGGGACAGCAAATCCTCTTGTTCTTATCGATGAGATTGATAAGGTAAAATACCTTGTTAGTACTCGGATTAGCGTCTTGAAGTTTGTCACCATCATTGTCATCATTGTTTTAATTATCCTTGGCAGCTTGGGAGAGGCCATGCTGGTGACCCAGCCAGTGCTTTGTTGGAGCTTCTGGATCCAGAGCAAAATGCAAATTTTCTGGACCACTATCTCGACGTTACCATTGATCTCTCAAAGGTTATTAATATGATCTGATATATGGTAACCATTTTGTTTTATGTGAGCTGATCCTTTTCTCCCTACAGGTTTTATTTGTGTGCACAGCAAATGTGATAGACATGATTCCAAATCCTCTGCTAGACAGAATGGAGGTGATTAGTATTGCTGGCTACATCACTGATGAGAAAGTTCATATCGCAAGAGACTATTTGGAAAAAACCGCACGTGGAGATTGTGGCATCAAGCCTGAACAGGTCTCCACTTTCATCCTATTCTCCAATTGTCTCTGGTCTTGAGTAATTGTCTTGGAATCATATTCTTTTCTTCTTGTACTACTTGCAGGTTGAGGTGAGTGATGCAGCTCTTCTTTCACTGATAGAAAATTACTGCAGAGAAGCAGGAGTTAGGAATCTCCAGAAACAGATAGAGAAGATTTACAGGAAGGTAAGTTTTGCTACAAGACTCTGAATCTGTTCCCTCAAAAGCCCACACCACATCTAACATGAGTTACATCTTCATTTGTAGATTGCTCTTAAACTAGTGCGTGAAGGAGTAGTCCCAGAAGAGCCTGCAGTTGCAGTTGATACCGAAGAAGCTGAAATAGTGACCAAGCTTGACGTTGAATCCACCGAGAACCCTGTTGTCGAAGAACCAAAGGAAGAGGCTCAAAAAGAGAAGACACCGGTTGAAAAGGTTATGATTGATGAATCAAACCTTGCAGATTATGTAGGCAAACCTGTGTTCCATGCAGAAAAGATCTATGAGCCCACACCGGTAGGAGTTGTGATGGGTCTAGCTTGGACATCAATGGGTGGTTCAACGTTGTACATTGAGACAACTGTTGTGGAGGACGGTGAAGGTAAAGGTTGCTTGAATGTAACTGGACAGCTCGGTGATGTGATGAAAGAAAGCGCACAGATCGCTCACACAGTCGCCAGAAAGATCATGCTGGAGAAAGAACCAGACAACCAGTTCTTTGCAAACTCCAAGCTTCATCTCCATGTTCCTGCAGGAGCTACACCTAAAGACGGTCCAAGTGCAGGCTGCACTATGATCACATCATTGCTATCACTTGCCATGAAGAAACCTGTTCAGAAAGATCTTGCAATGACTGGAGAAGTCACTCTAACTGGTAGAATCCTTCCTATTGGTGGGGTAAGTTAGTTACTTTGGACTCTATCTCTCTCACTCTATTATTACAGAACTTGCTGCAAGTTTCTTACACAAAATGTTTCAGGTGAAGGAGAAAACCATAGCGGCGAGGCGGAGTCAGGTGAAGACTATCATATTTCCGGAGGCAAACCGGAGAGACTTTGAAGAGCTTGCGGAGAATGTGAAAGAAGGGCTTGATGTTCACTTTGTGGATGACTATAGAAAGATCTTTGAGCTTGCCTTTGGCTATGACAAACAACAAGACTGAGAGAACTCAGAAGTTCTGACCACCTTCCTCTGTTGTCTCCATCTACACAAGAAAGCCATTCTTGATTCTTTCTTTGTTTTTCTATATATACTTTGTTCCCTTCAAGAAGGGTCATACTGTAACAATTTTTATCATTAGGATAGTTTATTTATGTGGTTGGACCTTTGTGGTATATTTCCACAGCCAAATCATGATAATGCATCATAATAAAAATGTTATCTGCTTGTTATACTGTGAACAGATTGGTGGTGTATGACTTGCACTGTTGCTATCAGAATGAAGGACAAGAGTATCATATTATTTGGCATTTCATTCGATCTTTTAGAAGATTACTCATGTAGAGAATACAAAAAGGGATGCTCTTGAATTACATTGGGAAAGAATGCTACTCAACATTGTCTATTTTTCACTTTATCTGATTCTCATGTCAGAGAAACTATTAATTTGGACTTATAGTCAATTTTTTTTCCTTTTTTGTTAACGTTAAAATTGTTAGGAAAATAGCACTAAATAAAAGGTATTTTGTGAAACTTAGCTGCAAATTTTGTCGCAAAATATTTGCCATAGAAATTGTTGAATGCAACAGAGAATGAGGGGTACAGACACACCTCCAACTAGTGAATGAGAGTTTCCTCCAACTTTGTAAGCAACTGAAAAAAATGGTCATTTCACAGTGTCAAAAGCTTTGGCAATATCAATTTTGATGTTATACTTTTCTCAGCAACAACCCTATGATAGCAGTGTATTTCTATCTATAGCCTTCTGTGGATGCACACCGTTTGATTAATTTGACTCTTTAAAAAGTCAGAACATAGTTATAAACTAATAAAAACATAGATTTATCAATTTTATAATGTGCTCAAAAAGGTTTATGAGATTCTCCTCATTTCGGTAAGAGCTTTAAGCGGAAGAATCTATGTTGTGAGCGATTTTAGCGGTGAGGTGTTTGATGTGGATTTGTGATTCCATGTTCAAGATAGAGAGTAGTTTGTTTGAGTCTATATCACAAAGAAAATATTGAGTATTGTTTATTTAACGATATGTTTAAGAGTTACAATTCATGTAGACCATATATTTTTCCAATTTAGGCTGTTGTGAATACTATAAATAGATGTGATCCTTAGCTGATTTTGTGAGTGATGTTAGTTTTTGTAATTCTTTTTTTGAATCATTTGAAATCTGTAGATCTATATTCAAGTGTTTAGTGTCTTTTTCCAATTCGAATTAAACAAAAGAAAACTTATTTTACGTATTCTAAGCAGAAAATTTCATATGTACTACACTGAAATTCAACATATACTGAAATGACATTCATATGATATTGAATTATTAACATTTGAATGGGCGCAAATAGTGCAGTTCAAAAAAAATGTTCAAGAAATCGTTAAGCGGTTATTAGGTGATTTGTAGAGGATTATCGACTACGCATATTATTCAGGACTAGGTGAGGTCAAGGCGTTAACGAGTTATCGATTTTTATTTTATATATATATATTTATTACATTTCTATGATATATTTTAGTTTTTTATCTGGATCAAAATTATATCTTTAAATATATTACCAAAATTAGATATACAAAACAAAGAAATTACAAAAAGTGTGGATTTGTATTAACATTATTGGTTAATTTAATAGATTTAAACTAATTGGGATCTATTTAAACCGATTTGAACCAATTTCAATTGTGTAAATTGTTTAAAGTGATTTAGAATGATCTAAACTTATTTGAAGCGTATAAATTGGATTTTGTAAAAGTTATTTCGGCTATGAACAATTTTCCATATAGGTGCCAGCAGTTTTAGAACCTTGGTTCAAAACATCCCAATAATATATGACATTCATGTTACTAACATAATCTCTTGTTATAATGATCTTATTGGTGTGTAGATATTGGATAATACTTGAGTTTGAATTGGATAATACATCAGAAGTGTTATTATTATTATATACTAAGCTGGTTGTTTATTTGCCTTTTGACCTACCAAACCCCCTAATCAAACATAATCTCTAAGGCATATATTTTGTGACAAAAATGGCAACTAAGTTTCACTAAATATCTTTTAGTGCTATTCTATAAATAAAATGTTAACGCTGCCAAAAAAAAAAAAATTAACCAAAAAAGCTTAAAAAGTGCAACAGAGTTGATTCATGAGAAGGAAACAGTTCTAGCTATTAATCATGGGGATGAGCGTCTCTGGTTACTCTCCAAGGGAAGACTCAATTCAGGAAGACCACTCACAAGAAGCAAGTGATTCACAAATGGTACATGGAGTTGTTGATGAGGAAAGGTTAATACCACAACCTTCTGGTACCATGATACTTCATTTATGTGGCTGGACCATTGTGGTATATTCCCACAGCCAGATCATGATACATCAAAAGAAAAATCTTATTTGCTTGTTATACTATGAACAGATTGGTGTATGACTTGAAGTCATTGTTGGACAAGATTTTTTTCCATTTCCTTTAAGCAAAACTCCTTTACTGGGATGAAGGACAAAGTAAACATATTATTTGCATTTCATTCCATCTATAAGAAGAGAACACATTAGGAGAGAACATAGGCTACTTTTTTTACTTTTATCTCAACACTCATGTCAGAGAATCTATCACATGAAAGAAACACAGACCAAAAGCTTCTACAATGCAGAGAGAAGATCAGACTCAAACACACAAAGCAGAAACTAACACTTTTCTTGGCTTTCAATGTTCTTCTTTGAACACTGAGACAAGCTCATTAACTAAATCATCAACCAACGTAGATACTATCTCTCCCTCAATGTCAATACCTTCTTCATAAGTCTCTCTCTCGAAATCAAGCCAACTCCCTTCTAAACTGCTCATATCTTTGTCAACAAGCTCATCCATCATCATCTCCCTCATCTTCTTCAACCTTTGAATCTCTCTGTTCAGTTCTTCTGCTAACCAATTTCTATGTTCAAACAATAGCCCTCTGCAGCTACCCCTTAACATCTGCTCACATTTGAGCTCTAAGCACTTACTAACAAAATCAAAGACTGTCTTTCTCTTGAGCTTGGCTGATGTTGCTACTCCACATCCTTCCAGTTCATTAAAGAGGCTCGCAGGTAAAATGTCAGTAGCCATTCCCAAAGCGTATTCTTTCACCATAAGTTGGTCAGAACCGAGGATCACAGATATGTATTCAACCTCCCAGTCTAGCCTTTCTTTGTCTTCTGAATAAGTCAATGTTATTACAGATTCTGAGAGCTCAGACTCATCTTGTGCTAAGTGTGACTCATTTGTTGAACCATAGGAACTAACCTGAAGTTTTTGTTTGTCATAGGATAAAGTGCAGTCAGAAACAGATTCACTCTCTGATAAAACTTTCTCCAGACCATTTTGAGTCGACTTGTCATACTCTGGTGAAGATGAAACCATCTCGTTCACCCCATTCTTTGTACTGGAACGTGAAGACTCTTCTTGTGTCAGACTACAGCTAGAAGATTCAAGCTTAGAAGTCAGCTCTCTGAGTTTTTCCTCTAGCAGAACATTTAAAGAACTGCCACCAAACATATCGAAACTAACTGCAGAGTCTGTTTCTTGATCACGTTCTTGAGTGGAGGAGGATAGTGAATGAGATGATTTACCTTTAACGGGGGATGAGAATGTGAATGAGATCACATCTACTTCTTTTTTCAGATCATCTTTGCCTGAATGCAAGCTACCATCAATGGTAATGTTACTTTTTATCACACTTTCACCCCTTTTGATCCGTTTATCATTGGAGATTCCACATTCTTGCATCCCATTAGGGGGTTTCTTGCTCCGGTGAAGACTCTTTTTGCGAGACAAAGGCAGAGAAGTATTCTTTCCTGATCCACTTTCCACAGGAACCTTGTTTACAACCTTGCTCTTTTGGTTTGAATGTTGGTTGTCCCTGCAGTTCTGTTTCTGATCATTCTGCTTAACCACTCTCTTTCCTGTGCTAAAGTGAGGTCCTCTGAGACCGTTCTGGCTATTGACTATGCGCTTTTTAGATTCTGCTTTCTCCGTATGGACACTTAAGGACAGTGTGCTGGCCTTTGCTTCTGCAGATACATGAGGTGGCTTCACTTTACTCTTCAAACCCTCAGAACTGCTTTTTACCATAGAGGAAGGTGTTATGACTGATGTTGATGTTCTCTTCTCATTAGAGACTTGGCGGCTTGACACATTCTTTGCAGCTTTTAGTTTCTCTCTTAAATCTCGAATCCTCATAGGAACAGATGAAGGAGAATCTGATGGCGAAAACCGTGTTCTAGTAGTAACCATCCTAGTCCTAGGACTTGGTTCAATCATTCTTGAAGCTGCTTCCATTACATAAACAGGGTTCCTGGATGGGACAAACCGAGGACTCCTGATAGGAGACAAGAGCCCACTGTTGGCAACAGAGATCGGTTTAGCTACCCTATGAGGAAAAGTTTCAGATTGAAACCTCTCAATCCCTCTGTTGCGGCCATCATTCATTCTTGAATCCAAATGTTCCCATGATACTCCATCATAGTCACTATGGAGATTTACATAACCAAGATTCTCATATGCATTCCACTTAGTTGTCTTTCTTGAATGTAAGAATGGATCAAGAACTGGATTAAACCGAGGTTCTTGGACATTTGGGACAGGTAAAGACTCTAAACCCATGAGCCTTGCAACCACACTAGGAGCGGCTCTTGTCCCCTGCCCATCCTCACTAGTAACAGAAGATGCACAACAGCTAGAGTCACTTCTTGGATTATAATTCCAATTCTTGCCATTCTCATCAACTTCATTCTGTTTTGTCTGCTTTAGCTCTTCTGGTACAAAAAAAAACAAGAAGAAGATCCAACTTGAGATTACTGATTAAAACATAACATGTTACAATCTGACATCTTAAAAAAAAAAAGTTCACTGTCTTTTAACCATAGAATCAAATCTTTCTAACGAGAAGCACATTGTCTTAGACCAGACATAACTACATACCACAGAGAACTTAACTAGACATTGCTAATTAGTTGTGAGCATTACCAAGGCAATACTTGTATACACACACACCTGAGAGCTCCAAGCTGCTGCCGGAAGAGAAGAGCTTCTTCTTCCGTGATTTTCCAGGCCAATCAAATAGATTTAAAAACCCTCCTCTTGATCGTTTCCTCTCAACAACCTCCATTTTATTTTATTATTCCATCTACAGTAGATTGCAATCAGAAAATCACTTCTCCTGGAATGTAA